GGGATTTTAGTGGAGATTAGAAATTTTAATTATTCCAAGTAGAATTTATTTTGGAGTAGTATAGAGTTAAGACGAGGTGTAATGGGATTTTCATCAGTAATTAAGGGATTTTTTACATTTTTACTTGTTCAATAGTCTGTCGTTATTGTTGACTTGATTATGTAATTGAGGTGTCATAGTAGAGCTCTGTTGAAAAGATTTATTTTGAAGTTATACTAGAGATATTGTCGGGTTAAAATATTTGGTAATGGGATTTTAGTGGAGATTATTGTAGATTGAAAATTTTAATTATTCCAAGCAGAATTTATTTTGGAGTAGTACTGAGGAGATATTATAAGACACTATCATTGGCCTAACGTTGGTAATTGGCTTCTTATAATTTTTGATGCTCAAATTTACTTTACTCGTTCGATATTCTGTTGTACGTGACTAACGTATTTAGATGTTTCTAAAGAGGCTTATTTTGGAGTGGTATTTTGAAATCTTGTAATAAGATTGCCATTGGTATTACTAATTTTAATTATTATAAATAGATTGGGGATTTTGTGTATAGTTTATATTCAAATTTCTTTTTCCTTTACTCGTTCCATATTTTCTTGTACATGACTTGATTCTATAACTGAAGTTGCTAGAGATTTATTTTGGAGCAGTGTTATAGTAGTATAAGATATTTAATAATGGGAGTTTAATTCACGAACTAGTAATTTATGTTTGTTCGTATGAATGGAACTTAATCTGTTTAACACACCCTGCTTAGAAACTGAAAATGTATTACAACTAATTACTTCGACGAATTAAACGAAAAATTGCGAATTAAAAAAAGAAGAAAAAAAAGAAAAAGGAATATACATACTAGGCATCGAGGGAGGAAGGAAAACGAAAAGCTGCTTAGAAATGTATTAATACTAAATACTCCAAACCAACCACACGAATTAAAAAAAAAAAAAGAAGAAGAGGAAAAAGGAAAATCATATAACCTAGAAACATACATACTAGGCAAACCGAAAGAAGGAAAGAAGACGAAAAGCTGCTTAGAAATTGAAATGTATCAAAACTAAATACCCCACGAATTAAAAGAAAAAAGGGGAGAGGGGTAGAAATCACATAACCTAGAATATACATACTGCGCACGAGGAAAGGGAGAGAAATGAAAAGGCAGCGTACAGATAGGAACCAGAGATCGGATGGAGGTAGTGAAAGAAGCAATCGCCTCGGTGTCTCGCGTTCGTCTGACAAAAGCTTGGGCAAAAGCGGCCGGGGGTGGCCGGGGGTGGCCAAGGGTGGCACGTCGGGACGCGTCGCGTCGTAGGCGTCGGCGTAACCACGAGGAAGGGCGTGTTTCTGGGAGGAAAAGCGAAACGGGTGGCGGGTACGACGGCGCAAGTCAAGCACCTGTTTTCGACGCCTGCGAACTCGAGCGTAAGGGACCTATGAAACCGGTTGCGACCGCCTACCATCCTATCGAAACCGACGGGATCCGCATCCCTGAAGACCTCTTCCACCTATCCACCTATCCACCTAGCCGTTTCACCCACCTACGACCTCCGATAACTTGGCCAGTACGCCAGATCAGGCCAGTCAGAGGGGAGAAAGACATTCGCACGGCGGATTTTCTTCCTTTTTTTTCTTTCCTCTTTTTTTTTCCTCCTCCTCCTCCTCCTCATCATCATCCTCTTCTTCTTCTCTCTGTCTGTCTCTTTCAGTTTTAGCGCTATCTGCAGCTTTGCAGGATAGACAGCTTTTGAACCATACCGCCGCCTCTCCTTGCGTCCTTCCGGTTAACTGTCCCCCCTCCCCTTTCTTCTCATCTCCCCCCCCCCTCCCGGTCTACCCTCGTTTCCGCTCTATTTTCGTTGTTACAAGCGTCGACGAGAATATCTTCCCTCCGTGCCTTAGTCCACTGTTTCGTCGTCGTTGACGCTGTCCCGTAATTATTTCTGACATATATTCTGACTCTGGATTTCGTTCGAGGCTGTGTTGTGCAACTTGGGGATGATTCTCGTCGGAGATTCGTACTTTTACGATCTTCTTGGATCCTGCTCTTGCAATTGTTCCACTTCTGAAAGTCTGTAGACCAGTGTGACGTGGAAGATCGTACAAACTGGAAAATAGAAGATATTTGACAGATAGTTAAAGATTCGTATTTTTATGATAATCTTCGCTTCACTGTAACTATGTTTCTGTACTTCTGGACTTAGATTGATGCGACACGACGGGCGGTGCAAAGATTGATTGTGTCATCTGGAAAGTAAAAGATAGCAATGATTAGAATAAGAATTTTACAGGGATTCGATCTACTTGATCTACTACTTTGTCGTCGATGCCATTTTATAATTACTTTTTACACTCTTGTATTTGTTGCAGATGAATGTGACTGGAAAAGGTAGAGAGTAGTTAATTATACGAACTGGAAAGTAAAAGACAGTGATGATTAGAATCGAGATTTTATGCAAATTTTTGTATTTTTATTATCACTTAACTCGTACCTTGATCTACTCTTTTATATTTATTTGTTTCGTAATTAGTTGTTACACTTATGAATTTGCTATGTAGATTAATGTCGACGTAGAAAGTGTGGATATTGATTATACGAGTTCAAAAGATAGTAACGATTAGATTAGGAACATTGTACAGTATTTTTATAATTATCACAATCGTACCTTGTTCTATTATTTTTCTTATTCGTAATATATTTTCTTTTCTTTCTACTATCATTTGACTATATTTGGAGTAGATATGTGTAGATATATGTAGCACGAGATCTTCTGAAGATCTGCCTTATACTTTGGTCTAGTTGATACCACTAATAATTGCGAAGAAAAGTCAGTAATTATCCGCATCTGAAAATTACAGCAAAAAGTCAGTACAATCTACGATCTACTGCAATCGCTGGATTCGCAAAATCAGAAAAATAGATAGCGCCTGTAATTTACAGAGAAAAACTCACACCGTTAAGAAAGATAAATCTGTATACGTATAATTTACAGAGAAATTACGACAAAGTTCTGGACCAAGTTCTGGCAATAAGTTTTGAGAGGATTACAGAAATTATTGGAATTAGAAATTCCGCCGGATTTGGTTCGAATACATTACCCGTAACGTGCTTCGTTTCCTAGAAGCGGATAAATATACTTACTCAACAAATATTATTGATGATATTTTTCTTGAACTATATCTTCACGCATAGAATTAAATCGCTGCGATTATAAACAAAAAAATAATAAAAGATTGTTCAAATTATTCTTACACTTCTGTCTGTCGTAGTATAATTAAATAAATTATAAATGAATTTTGTAAATAATTATGCTATACAAGCTATAAATCAATTATACTACGGTACTTACAGATTTTTACTTGTTAAAAAAATACTACTTTCATTAAGCTAATGTAAATATCAAATTCTTTTTACTTCTTTATCTAGAAATGTGCCGAAAAGAATTTTTTTTTTTGTTTTTTTGTATAGAAAAAGAGAGTTTCTCTCGAAAAATAAATGACACGATTCATACGTGTACTGCGAAAAGCACCTGTATCGTTATAACGTGTTCACAGGTGCGAGACATCTATAACGATGACAAGCTACAGGACCGTGTTCTTCCTGTTGAATGCAAATTTATTCAATGAGAATCAACGAAACGCGTTCAAGTGCTCGTTTTACATGCGCTGTTTCACATTGACAACCTATTTTACACCGTACATCGTTATCAGTGCAAGAAGAATTTTACATCTTTGAAAAAAAAGAAACTTCTACTTTCTGGATGAAACAGAATTAAAAATGTTTGTTGTATTAGATAATATTAGGACAAGAAATCTGTTCCCCGTTTATTAATAAATTTTGTTTTTGAATAAATATTTGAACTTATTTTTGTTTCATTTGCCAAAAAATATTGATAAAAGATAACTTTTGTATATTGCAAAGATTTTAGCATCTTTTAAAAATTGTAATTTTTAATACTTGTTTAATTTTCGTATTAAACAATTAATTGTTGAGCAAATAAAATTGATACACATTGAACTGTAGTATATTCAACGTTAAATCATGAAATATCAATCAAATAATAATATTGAATTATGATTACTTTAATTATTCAAATTTTGTATTGTTCTTGTCATTGTTTGATTAGAAATTTGTGATCATTGATATTCGAAAAATATTTCCTTCTATATCTGCAATTAATTTTTGATTAAAGAACTAAGACTATATAGGATAATATTGCAATTAATAATTTACTATTAATAACTAACTATTGTTAACACTTAAATATAAAAATAATACATTAAAGATAACTATTTTTCTCTGTGTTAAGCAATATACAATTTGTTACTCAAAACTTCCTTGAAAATCCAAGGAAATGAATGGAGAATTGCACGGTGTCTGACTTATTTAAAGTTACACTACTGAACTACTGAGAAAAATTGGGCATATATGTTCATCAGACAGAAAACATTCCTCCTGCTATTCTCTACCATTCTATGCTTGGTTAATCTACAATTCCAAATAAATATTGTAGGTGAAAAGTATAAATTAAAAAATTGTTATTCCTGTAAATGTAAATTAAAAGTCACTTTTTCTATCTATCTCTATAGTGAAAATTCTTCCATGTTTTATATTTGTTACAAAATTGAAAAAAATTATATAATTTACAACTTGCCTGTAAGAATCTACATTACAAACTACACGTGCAATTGAAAAATTTGATTATCTGCGATAGTGAATATCCAAAATGAGTGTCCTAAAACTTTCGTGACAATATTATCTGGAGAATAAAGTTTTTAACAAATCCTCTTTAAAAAAAGAAACAGGATTTACATTTCTAAAACAATCGACTACATATTTATCAACTGAAGAACAAAATAAAATATCTACGAAACAAATTAAATCCTCTATAAAAGAAACGTAACCGTATGTAAAGTGAATAAAATTTGTACCTATGTCACTCCTGTTTCAATTGAAAAAAGAAGAAAGTATCAATACTCGCTGGGGAAGCAACTGAACCCATCGCTTAATAAACATATCATTTATTTCAGTTTTCGTATAATTTATAATCATCGAAACTTTTAGCCCGCGTGTTTCTAATCCAATCGCATTAAAATCATAATTACGCAGCGGAGAACAGATGCATCTATAGAACGCACTTTAATCGAACAAATGTCTGGATCTAGAACACAAGGCACAATCGGTGTTCCTTACTTCTCTCAGATAAAAATAATTGACTTATTTCGCCGTCCACATTGTATTTATCATTTTTTCTTTATCACTCGTTCAATTGAATGAATAACATCTAGATATGTCATTCGAAACCAGGCTACTCTATAGTGCACGCTACAACATCGTAACCAACCATCTGACGAGGAAACTGTTTAAACAACATGAAACACTCTAATAAGATGGAACAATTGATAGAGGAGAGAGTCTGTCTGGACACGAAGGAAAATCGGGCCAAAGTGATTAACTCCACTTTCTACTTATTCTTTAAAATCTAATCTCGAAACATTCAGTTGATTAACTTAACTTTTTACGTCTAAAATAAATTTCCAAATTTTCTTATAAAATATCAGATTGATGCTTAACTTCCTACATCTAAAACAGATCTCTAAATTTTCTGTAAATTGCAAAGCACGGTGCTTAAATTTTCTAATAAATATCTAAAATTCATTTAAATTTTAACGTCGAAACAACTTGACTGACTTTTCATGTTTAACTTTTTCTTCATGTTTTAAATAAATCTAAAATATTTTTTCTTTAACGACTTCTTCATGTCTAAAATAAATCTAAAACATTTTTTTTTTTAATTGCGAGACTAGTGCTAGAACGCTTCAATTTTTATATGTACAATTCCTTAAATTTTAGTGCCAAAACACTGGCGCTTAACTTTTTAATACCTTTTTAATAAATCTCTAACTTTTAATACCTTTTTAATAAATCGCTAAATTTTTTCGATGATTAATTCTTTTTATATCTAAAATTCTTCAAATTTTTGTGTCGAAACACTTGACGCTTTTTTATATTTAAAATAAATTTTCTCAACAATTAGACACAAATTTGTTTAGACCTGGAATAGTAAATAGCTTATCTCAGAAGCGTTATTTATACATTTTGTATGTCGTCAGACAAAAGCTACATAATATAATGATCATTAAAAATATCTTAAAAGAGAATTGATGCTATTTCGTCAATTTTTCTATTCTCTGTTTTGTGGAATTAATCGATTTGACTCAACGAGAGGCTCGATTATCGCAGGGATTCGTTGGAATCTTGATTTCACTTTCTTCTTCTAATGGAGCTAGCTAAATACTGCTTGCTATACAAGTAAAAGACCAAGGTAACGCGAGTTTCTTTCTCAGGGGGGGAATTCTTAACTGTCTCACACACTTACAATCAATATATGTAATCTGCTTATAATTATTTGGTTCCTCACGAAAATAATTGACGAAACTTAATTTCTTACTCGATCGACAATCGATCTTGCGTTTGGCGCGCTATTCTGCGAAGAAATTTTATATTCTTTACACGTGGTGCAAAATAGTTAAACGATCAACCATAAATAATCTCACAATTTTTTCGAATTCTTACCACGTTGTGAAATTTGAATTTAGATGGAAACGCGTAAGAAGCTTACGTTCGAAGAACATTCTGCTTTTTCGCTGAAATAATTCCTTAACCTTTCGTATCGTTTAATTTCTCACAAAAACTTAGTGAAAATGTAAGACGTATTTTCGTGCTTAACTCTCAAGTAGTATCACCGAGTCATAGATCACGAAATTTAACGTATTCGAGTCTATATTTTGCATTTTCTGCAATTCTCAAATGTAAGTCAAAGTTATACTGAAATATAATTAAAAATTCCTGAACGACACCAGTTAAGAGTTAATCGAAAATAACGCTATTCGTCTCAAGATCTTCACGAGTTTGCAAGTTTCACTACGTTTATTATACGCTTCATTTTATTCTATTCGTTCAAGTAGATAGGTATTTCATCGGCAATTATCGATGACTCAAAGATGGAACAATCAATACAGAAGACTCTGATAGAAAGCAAAATTATCGCAGAGTTTTATTGGAATCTTCTTTTCACGTTCTTCTTTCCTTTTTTTTTCTTTTTTTTTTTTTAATTCTAGGATATATTTATTTTATACTTCGACTTTGTATGGAGATCCAGGGATATGGTCGTCACCCCATTTTACAATAACAATGTATTCACCCCTTTCGCGAACCATGTAGCTCACGTTGTAATTATTGCGACCTGTGTGCTTCATGGACACTTCATCGCATGGACCTTTGGGTCCGTACACACCAACGTACAAGATGTTATTGCCTGAAAACGAAACAATATTTCAGTGTTGTATATTAATTCATTTCCTTAAGTTAACCCTCTATGAAGTTTGTGGTAAAGTTTTGATATATAAATTGAAATTTGTATGAATAATGTATAATTTAATAAATGTATTAATAAATATCTAAATAAATGTATAATTTAATAAATGTATTAATAAATATCTAAATAATTTAATAAATACATATAAATTCACAACGATATATTTTTTGTAAGATTAAGATTGTGTTGTGTGAATGAAAAATAATAAAATAATATATAATAGAATAATATACAAATATTAATTCAGTGAGTATTGTCAAAAATATAATATATGTTACATATTATACTTCTAACTACTATCTACTTCTAACGATACTCGTTGTATTAATATTTACACATTATTGTATCATACATTTAATGACATTATAATAATTGTAGATTGTACGAATAATACATTACCAGCGTCGCTAGCATTTACGGTAAACACATTCTGTTTGCCAAGGTATGCCTTTTTCAGACCCATTCCTTTGCTCGTTACCTTACTGGCATCTGATTTGAAAAGGGGTAAAACTGGTCCAGCTTGCTTCGATTTCGAAATCTTTTGAACAGTTTCCACCACAATTGAACTCGTTTCTTGCGCGCCTCTCTCTGCCAGATCCGCACCTATAATTGAATTTGTTACGCTATTAATTTTCTATCACATATAACGATAAATTCTTGCGAATGTACCGGGTGAGTCATCTATAAGTGAAAAATTAAACTATTTTCGAAACTATCGACTACTTACATGAAAAAGTTTTAAACAAAAATACTTTCTAGGGAGTCATTTTTATAAACAGACGCGTAAAAAAAAGATTTTTCTTTTAATAGAGAGTCGTGTAATTTTTAAAACACCAATCGAAACAGATTATAATTTTGTGTAAAATAGTAATGAACTATTTTTAGTAAAAAACAATAGTTCAAAAGTTATTTTGTTACAGAGTAACATTGATCTTTCAATATACTAATTTATACAAATTTAATATACAAATTAATATACAAATTTATATTTTTGAAAATACAATGGACAAAATAGAATTTTGATAATTGTTTTACATATTCCATGTTACGCAAAACGCTACATTTTGAATATTTTATACATTTTCTCGATTCTGCACTTTGAAATTTCTTGTACAAAAATTCGCGACAGTAGTGAATTATATAAAGGTAAAAATTTCGTTTTATGAATCAACGTGGAATAGCGACGATCGCGATGTACTTTCAGTGTGTCTGTTTCTAAAAATAAATTCTCAAGCAACTAAAATTCCCAAGTATATTAAGTACACAATGATTTAGTAGATTTATCTATTCATAGAATGTCCATGAAGATGTAATAATAGAATGGTCAAGTTCATTAGTAAGTTACATTCTGACAAAAGTAGATTGTACTTTATATAAAATTATCTAAATTTTTCATCAAACAGTTTTCACGGATTCCAGAATTCTAAGCTATCCTAATTTTTCCATTTTCAAACTTATTAATTACTTATTAAATATTACAAACTAACACCTTTAATTCATCAATTCAAAATAAAATGACAAACAGAAAGTGAAGTTTGTTTATTAGAGTTAGAAACCATTTGAGAAACAAATACAAAAAGTTATTTCATTTCACGAGACAATCTCGAGATAAACTTCATCCGCTCGTGGGATTGTTTCAAGATTCAAACAAGACTGTATACAAGATTATTTCACAACTATAGATTATACCAACCTGTGCAAGGGACCTTAAACGGCGAGCCAACGATGTGATATCCATCGTATTTGATGCTGATATAATAATCGCCAGGTACCAAGGGTGTGTATCTAACTTTGTAGCCTTCTTCAACCTCTGTGCAATCCATCGCTACTTTGCTCGGGCCGTCCACCGTTATGCACAGCACGCCACTTCCGGCGTTGCACGTGTCAATGATAAAGTCTGTCTTCTGGCCAGTTTTGATCTCCTTCAGGCCATTCCCGTATGCGTGCAATGCGGCCGGATCGGCGTCCACTTTGCCCACTTTGATACGATACGGGCTACCCTGTATGTGAACCCCGTTGAACTTCACGTGGATGTTGTGAATGCCGTTCTCCCTTGGCATGAATCGCACAGAGTAAGTGTCGGTGTCGATACCTTGGATGAAGCAGTCATCCTCGATACCACTGGGGGACACGATCTGCGAAGGAAGGAACAAATTTCTCTCAGTCAGTCTTTAAAAAAAAAAGAAAAAAAATGTAAAAATGAAAAACGTATTTGCATCGAATTTGAAAATCATTCGAATAAATCTCAAGATCTTAAAAAAAAAAAAAAGAAAGGAGAGAAGACACATTAAATTCGCAAAAATATT